CACCTTTGGTGAGAGATGCCCGGCCTCATCAAAGGAAGATCTAGTGATGAAAAGAAAGGGCTCCAGGACAGCTGCAGACGACCCCCAAAAAGATATTCATTGTCAAGGGGAGGTGGAGCAAAGATTTAAGAAAAAACATTGGCCAAAAAAGCAAAGGCTTTGAAGCAATGCATCCCTAGGTCTTCTTCATACTTATATAAGCAAAGCATGTGAACACAACAAAAAAACACAAACCACAGATTACACATCAAACACACTTTCAAGCAAATGCAAGTGAAACATACCACAGGGGCATCCTCTGTGCAAATGTGGCTGAAGGAAACTTTCCTAGCCCTACAAATTAATGAAATACCCTGCCAGTTCTCGCTCTTCCGCTCACTCCTACTGGTATACGAGTAGAAATCATTGGGGGTTTTTTCTCTCTTTTTAAGGAATCAGAGAAAGAAAATTCTTAAAGTTAACACCATCAATAGCAGACCAGAACCTTGGGTTACCTTTTAAAGACTGTTTGGCACCTGATACTATAGTTTTGATATCAAATGGAGATAAAGAAGAAATGATTGGGAGTGAAATAAATCATATTTCATTTCAGTAAATAGAACATTCTGGCCAAAGGAATTTTAAAAACCATCTGGTCTAGGAAGTGTTCCAGGTACAACAGAGACTGGAAGCAAACCAGAGGATGGCCAAGCTGACTTTTGCATTCTCACTTGTAATCTCAAGAGGGCCTAACTGTACAAACACGTAAATGAGCATTTACAAAAAGGCAGGGATAGTTTCTATTTTGTGTAATAGCTGTTACTGTGATTAAGTGTGGTTGAGTAGGTTCTGAATACATTTAAGGACTTCATGAAACACTGGGATTTCTTTGATAAATGATATTAAAGTAATAACAGGTGTTAAAAAGAATCTGGTCTGAAACGAGGGGAAAAAACAAAAACAGACCACCACCACACAAGCTAGAAAGGATCCACTGCATTAACAGGATACCCAGAGGATTTCCTCATTTGAGTACAAGGGTTTTAAACACAGAATAAGGGAATTTATTGGGAGCTGGGATGCTGAGCCTTAATTTAAGTAGATTGATGGAAGCCAGACCATGTTTTCAGAAGGACTATAAACTGAACAAGGGGGGGAAATTCCTCTGTTTATTATTTTAAAGTTCATTTATGATTTTTTTCCATGTGGACATCTGCTAGAATGGCTGCTAACTGCTATAAGATTTATTTAATATGAAGTCTTTATAAAAAGATGAGATTTTCAAGTTCTTTCTGTTCTCACCTTTAAATAGTTCAGGTGATAATCCAAAAGAACAGTGGCATTAGCGATGCTGTCCTTTGTTCCCACAAAAACAAACGGTACCATGCCCTGAAAAAGAAATGGCAACAATGATCACATAGAACTGCTGATGGGTTAGTGTGAATAATGCACACAATGGCTAAAGCCCTAGCACAGGATATGGCAAACAGTAGGCACACAGATATGTCAGGTGGGGGGTAAAAAAGAACCAGCACATGAAAATAAAAAGAGTTCCTATATTTTACACAACTACTGTGAATCAGACAGATCAATAGAGCAAAAACCCTTACGTGTATCCAATTACTATTTTCTCAAGACTATTATTAAATGTTGGCAAATCACAAATTATTTCATTCAAGGGATACGAGCTTTGTGATGCAATGAATAAACAAAAGGAATACTTTTAAATTCTTCAATCCGTTTACTTTAGGTTTTATTTAGATCAAACTCTTTTTCAAGGGGAAAAAAAAGCGACATTAGGTATGAGGGATACAAAAGTAAAGACAAAATTGACTCTGTTAACCAAGTCAACAAGACACAAACAAAACGCCACAAGCAAAACTAAGAAAAATTAGGAAGCTGAGAAATTCGTCTGTAAGAAAAAAACCCGAGCCACCTCCATGAGTAGACGATCTAGCCCCGAAATACTCCATCCAATTAAATATATTAAAAATGTGTACTTCTAGTCCATCTGTATAAATTAGAAGGAAAAAAACACAACAATTCTTGTCGAAAGTTACAGGAAAGCTGTATGAAACCACAGCTGGCAATCATGACAACTGTTCAGAGTTGAGCAGGGTTCCCAGTTGCTGCTGACGAAATGAACATGGTTTCAGAAATTCACTAGGAAAGCATATAGTCATTTGGTTTGGATGAAGGCCCATCGTTTTCAGGCAAAGTTAAAAGGTGTAACAAGTCCCTTGAGCAGGTATCCCTCATTTTACAAAGAGCGTTCATTTGACTGCTGGGCCGCATTTGCCTGCTTGAATTGGTGACAGAATTTTTTTTTGGTGGGAGTCAGTATTTTTTAAACATGTACGTAGGGGCTGGGGCTGGAGTTTCTTTTTCCTTTCACAACAACATGGCTGCTGCTGGGGGTAAAAAAAAACCAACTGCAGAATTAGGAACTACCTGTCAGGCTAACCTTCCCCTGGATGGAAAGGTACTAAACCTCTTCTCCTAGGAGCCACCAGCACCTGAAGCTGCAGCAGGTGCTACTGAAAACCCAGTCTTCATTCGGATTTAATGAATTTATTTTAAGCATCCAATAGTACAGGAACCAAAGAAAGCCTCAGGCCCATGAACCAGACCACTTTTTTTGGTTTTTTAACCCCCAAATTGACTTTGTTACAGAGCACTTAATCATAGTCTTTCCCAAAAAGCCACACAGTGATATGTTACTCGTTTCCCTGGGGTTAGATATCACCAAGATTCAGAGACTGAGTCAGCCCAACTGGGAAGCAGATAAATCCTTAAAAGACATTTCCTCTTGCAACCCATGTCCTAATTACTGGTGTACCGAAATGCCACTCAGACTGTGGCACATTGTCCATGGTCCCGGGTGTTAAATGAAGAAAGGGGAAGAGTCCAGTGGTACTCAGCATGGCAGCCTTCAGTGTGGCCCTCCCAGGAAAAAGGCAGTCCTTCTTCTGGAATGAGAAGGGGCTCCACAATGTAGAGCCACACCCCATCAACATTCTCTTCCTAAAATGACATCTTTGATTTTAATCTCTTGTGAACCCCTTGGTTTCCCAAACACGTTCTCATAGGCCAGGCAATAGGTTAAATACCAGGCCCTAAAGGAAAGTAGACGGTAGTGGGAGATCAACAAGTGCACAGCTCTGCCACCAGTGCTCCAAGCAGGGGGGTGCACAGCCACCAGGAAAGCAGAGGCTGCAGGGCGGTAACCAAGAGGAGAAAGTGCTCCAGGCAGAGAGCCACAGCGACCTCGACCTATGAAAAACATCAGGAAAGCTCAGCCTTCTTTTCTATAGAATGCAAGGAGGAAGGATGGGGGAGAGGCAACTCCTGTAAAGTAACCTGGAGGGGCCTGATCAGCGACATGAAGGAGAAGCAGGGAAATGGACACACATACCCACAAACAATCTGCCACCATCCCCCAACCCTGACGAGCACTGGTAGTCTTTCTCAACAAGGGGAATAAACATGAAAATAGGAAATCAAAATGTATTTTTCAAGGAATGTTCTCCTACCTGCCAAGCCTTGAGTTCAGGTTTCTGGGATTCCCCTGCTACAATTGATGAAACCACTAACACCTAAAGCAGTATAAGGAATGCAAGTGATGTCATTAACTATAACAAATGATACACAGAAGCCTGAACGCAGGACTTTCACTGTAGGACTGCTACACCCGTGCTTAATTTCAAATATTGAAAACCAGTTTCTAACAAAGTTTTCAGTCACAACTAAGGCATCTAACAGAAACAAGGGACAGCTTGAACTACTACACCTGCAAAATTTCCAGAGATAACAGCAAGAGAACATCAAAGACCACCCTCAAAAGAAAAAGGGAACCATTACTTGCAACCCCATACTTTAAGGTTTACAATTTGTCCCTGTGAACTCAATGGGAGTCATTTAACATTTGGGTTTGTACTACACCTCAGGAGATGGCAATAAGATTTGGAAGAGAAAAAAAAGAACATGAGTAGTCTACAAGTCTAACCAGCGAAAACACCCAAAACACCAAGTGTGACATCTGAGCCAAGAAATTAGGTTTCGTGTAATGTAAAGGGACAAATAGTTCTTACCCTCTGGACTTTTGTACTGTTAGGCTGAGAAAAATGGCCGCTGTTTTCCTTTATCTCTAAGTGTTTCTTGTCTTCTGAGGGATTAGGTCCAACCCTTGAATTGTTGGAAGGTAGGGAATTTGGTGGAACAATTTCCTTGGTTAAAAAAACAAACAAACAAAAAAAACACACACACAAGAGAAAAAAGGACCGATTTTAAAAAGTCATTTAGCCTCACCATTGTGTCAATGATCATAATGCGACTTAAGACTGTCAATGAGTGGAAACAGCTTTGGCATTTCAAAATTACAGAACGCAAGCTCATTACAAAATATGCAGGAAACCTGTGTCCTGCTGTGCCGCCCCCCCCCCCACTCCAGATTTCACTCATTTAAAGAATGCTTTACCAAAGAAAAAGGCAAGACATGAAAATGATGATAGCTTGAGAGGGGGGCTATATTTTAAACACTTGTAGTTTTACACAGAAAAGCACATGACCATACCCCAAGTCCATACAAAAACTTCCAAAGCTGCTCCACCAACCTAGATGCATGGAGATCAAAATGAGAGTGATACAATTTGAAGATGAGAGGCAGAAGAGTGAGTTGCTAAGCCAGATGAATTTTGGGGGCATACTGGATCCCCACCTTCACTCTCAACCCCCCACCCACAAGTGAAAAGTTAGGGAATAGAAGCCAGGAAACCTAATCAGCGTGTCGGGTTGGCTAGTAACAGAAACACTGGCAAAGGGCTTCCTGTACAGGATTTCATTCCACTGACACAATGCCTGGCCCTGCCCTAGAGGTTTAGTAGCAAGAACCTGCACACCTCCCCATTTTCAAGTGGGGGAAATGCAGGCTTCATGCGGCAAAAAAAGACCAAGGCAAAGCTGCAGCATCAGTGAGTGGACAACATTCCAGAAGCCTCTAAAAGAGATATGCCAAATGAGCAACTGATATTAAGGGCTGAGGTGGTGGGCAAATGTTTTGAGAATGATGAGGGCAGCGAATGTACTAAGTGCTTGACACAATTGATGTGTGTATGGATTGGGATAACAGCTGTATGAGCCCCTAATAAAATGTTAAAAAAGAAAAATAAATAAAATAAAATGCATGTGCATCCAAAAAAAATTAAAAAAAAAAAAGAGATATGCCAACTCATGACACTCAAAAAAAACCTTGAATTTTTGTAGACGTTGACAGAAGCACATGTACTATAACATACCTCTTCTTGTGGAACATTCTTCTCATTTTCAGCCTCAATTCTTACTCTTACAACTCCTGACTTGTCCACAATCTCCTGAATCAGTTTTCCATTTTTTCCTATTACTTTGCCTAAGAAATGAGTAATTCACATTTGGTTTTAAAAAGGCAAAACTGAAACCAGGAAGCATAAACGATCACATTTATACACACACTTATATGAATGTGAAGCAACATGTACAATTCTGGAAACAAGATTCTGAAATCAAGCTCAAGAATCTTTTCAAGAGGACAAGATTTATACTCATCCTCTCGTTTCTCAGATAATCATTGTTTCTCAACTCCTTTGGTCAGGTGTTAGAATTGACTAACCCTTGCCAAGTGGGTAATTTTGAAGTTTTAAGGCAGCTCAAAGAAGGGCGTGTGTTACATTTGCTGAAGGTATTGTTTTTAACTACTCTTTCTGCAAAGTTCTACCAAAGAAATTAAAATAAAGAAACAGAGATAATAGAAGATATATTTGCATATTTGACGACTTCAAGTCCTTTGGCCAGGACACCTATTTTTAGAATTCAGTGCGGCATATTTATAAAAGATACTATTGAGTTTCAACAGTGACTGAAATATCTGTATCAAAAGCAAAAACTCACAGCCGTCCAGTCCATGCTGACTCCTAGCAACCCTCTAGGACAGAGTGGAAATAGTCCTGTAGGTTTCCAGGGCTATACGTAAACTTTATGGAAGCCAGTGGCCAAACTCTTTATCCCCAAAGTGTGAACAGTGGTTTCCAACCACTTATCTTTCTTGGTTAGTGGCCGAGCAGCTGTACATACATTAACAGGGTACAAATGCCTCAAGCCAATAGGTTAAAAGAATATAACAAAAAATAGAACAGTATCACACAAGTGGAGTGAGTCATTGAATAGCAGTGAGAAGCTGTAGAGGACACACTTATCTACACGCAGAGCAACCCCAATTACCCTGATGCTGGGCCCATCCTTCAAGGGCTTGCTCCACCAGCTCATCTAAGAGGAACTGCCAAGTCAAGGTGCGAAATTTTTATAAGCAGAGTACAGCCCTCAGGGTTCCTGCTGTGTTTGGTGGCCTAGCTCAGCCCAACGCTCCGATTTTAATTAGCTGGTGGACAGGGAGAGGAGCTACCACCACTAACTGAGAACTCTTGATCTAGGTTAGTGGTTCTCAACCTTCCTAAAACTGCAATCCTTTAATACAGTTCCCTAGGTTGTGGTGACCCCCGCCCAACCACAAAATTATTTTCGTTGCTACTTCATAACTGTAATTTTGCTACTTTTATGAATCAGGCAACCCATGTGAAAGGGTCTTGCGACTCCCTCAAAGGGGTCGCAACCCACAGGTTGAGAACCACTGATCTAGTTCCTTTGGGCAGTTCTGTCAGCATTTTTACTCTTGCAAGAAAAGGGGAGGGTATGGAGGTAACTGAAGTCTTCCCCAAGTGTTTGAATTTCTAACACTCCCATTGCCATGAATGAATATATCGATGTATCTAAATGCAGGTGTAGATCTATTTTAATAAAAGTCTAAATGAGTGAGCAGAAAGAGTGTTACTGACACCACTCTATTAAGACAATATCTTAACTATTCAAAGTACCATGTGCTAACTCTAGCTGACAGAATAATGAATCCTCGCCATTGTCAAATTTTAAGAAAAGGAAGATAAATGAGTGTGTGTACTAGGGAATGTGAAAAATGAAGAAATCATAAATCTATGAGGCTCAAGGAAAATGCAAACAATACTGACACTGACATCTCCCTTAAGATTTGCCTTGCCAGCTCTTATTAAACAAAATCGCTTTCTGAAAACGCTCAAATATTCCCAGCATTGCTATAGACAGTCTTTAAAAGAGAACAGTGTTGTTTTGCTAACTAGGACCACAAAAGAACAAAATCCAGGCTGACCGTAGGTACTTCAACAGGCTTCCTGATGAATAGTCACTTCTGGAATCCTCTTCTTTCCAGGGAGAATCTATCTTTAATTCCAGATCCACTCATTCTGCACTGTGCAGTTATTCCCAAACCCCACCTGACAGCTCACTACAGTTCTGATCTGTTGAACTGGATGGCACAGTTTTAAAATATGGTAAAGGCAAAGAATTAACATGTATTGGCCCCCTACCCTGTCCAGTACTGTCACTTTTATTTTTTCCCCCATTTAAGTAGCACAACAACTTTTCAGGGAAGATACTATCACATTGTTTTACAGGTGAAGAGACTAAGACTTGAGGCAGCTAAGTCACCTGCCCATGGTTAGCTCAAATACCAATGCCAAGCTCCTGCCATTATTATTGTCTCTAAAGTACTGTACATTAATCTGATATGTAAGTTACTTTTAAAAAAATAAATCTGCCTATTGCCTATCTCTCTATAAGCACTCCCACAATTTACCAGAATTTTTTAATACATGAACGTTGTTTGAGAAAATTAAATAAGAAAAAGAAGTCATTCCTAGCCTCACTGTAGGGACCCCTAGTGGCATAATGGCTTCCAAGATAGGCTGTTAAACACCAGGTCAGCTGTACAAAACCAGCTGCCCTATGGGGTAGCTGTGAATTGGAAGAGACTTGATGGCAATTGAGTTAACTCCATTGTCCTGAAATAATCCCTTTACTATGCATACATTTTCAACTTAACCTTCTTCAAATAAGACATTTTTCTTTGGGAAAAAAACACTGTCCCTTATATTTGTAATGGCATGGGAAGGAATATAAAAATCTCTGATTTTCTTGGTGTGTCTTTTTTAAAAGCAAATTAAGGATGACTGAAACTATATACACCTTGTTCTCTTTTTAACCCTTTTCCACAGGACACAGGCATTACTTTTTCATTACCAATCATGATTATCAGGAAAGGTTAAATATATATATATATTTACATTTACTGTGTGTGTATATATATACAGTAAATGTGTGTATATCTCAATTCTATTGCTAAATAAAAAACCCAGGAAGGCGGAGGCCTCAATACACAGGCGCCCATGAGGCTATGCTCCACCAAAGAGCGGCAGCTTTGGAAAGCACTGCCAAAGGGTGCCTTGTCAGTGACAGCCAGGAATCCAGGGTGCCCAAACCAGTTTACCATCCACTTTGCTGAAAGCCTCACCAAGACATTCGGAGTCAGACCAAGCTTTGATAAGATTTAAGTAACCCTGGTGATACAGTGGTTAAATGCTTGGTTGCTAACCAAACCCAAGCAGTTAGAACCTACTAGTCACTCTGTGGGAGATAGGCATAGCACTTTGTCTCCTTAAAGATGCTTAATTTGGGAAACCCTATGGGGCAGTCCTATATGGCTGCTATGGGTTCAAATCGCCTGGAAGGCAATGGGTTTAATGGGTTAACCTACATAGATAGATGAACACGAATGCTGTCATTTTACAGTTCTTTTGTGGTGTCGTCGGCAGGTGCCCTTATGTTGTTTGTGACTCAGAGCGACCCAGCGTGAGAGCATGGCTGCTCCATAGGGTTTTCTTGAAAGCAGATCGACAGGTCTTTCTCAAGCCAAGTCACTGGATGGGCTTGAACTGCCAATCTTTGGACAGCAGCCAAGATCTTAACCATTTGTGCCCCCAGGGCTCCTTGTAGTTCCATAAGAGAACTCAAATAGTGATTTACTGCACATGATAGTGCCTCTCATTAATTTTGAAAGTCATTATTCAATTTTAAGATTTTGAATGACATATTCAATTTTAAGATACAAGGGGGCTTCCACAAGTTTGTGGGAAAACACAGCTAAAAGTGGAATTTCCCCACAGCCTTTCTGGAGCTTCTCATGTATTGAATACAGTAAAGCTGCCCTGCAAAAGGCAGACAGAATTCCAGGCACTAAGAGGCCCACTTTGCACCTTATGAAATGTAATCCTGGAGCCTTCCACTTAGCCAATTATTTCCTGTAACCTGTAGCCAACAGACCACATATAAGAGTGTCAATTCCAACTGAAATCACCCCTCCAGAGAGGGAGAGGGGAATTCTATGTAGAGAAAGCTACCTAAGATTTCATTTTGGTAGCTCCTGTCAGCAACAATGTGTGACTTACCTACTAAGTTCCTGGGGACTTGTATGACATCTTCAGCAAATTCTAGAAAGCTTCTCGCCTTTTTCACTGCATCCTGGTCCTAATGCAAAGGAGGGACAGTTTCAAGACCAAAGATGAGCCAACTCAAACACTCAAGTTTCATTAAATTTTTTTAAGAGAGCCAATAGAATAGAAGAGTTACCTCTCCATAAATATGAAATGTGCAGGTATCTTCATCTAGATCAATAGCCGTGACCCCAGGTACTTTTCGAGCTTGCTGAATATTAGCACCATGTGTACCAATAGCTAGACCCATCAGATCTTCTCGTACAATAAACTGCTCATGAAACCTTGAGGCAAGTTGCCTTGAACTCTGAAGAGAAACGTAGGTCCAATTAAGATGTTTTATCAACCATTAAAGCCAATTGTATCTAGGTCAGCCATGTAAATTATCTGACTCTGTATATCAGGGGGCTCTAAGTTAGTTTCGGTTGAAAACTAACAGGCTTCAGACTATACCTCCACAGCCCAAGTGTTTTTAGGCAAATGAAGGTCAGTGCCACTTGATATCTTTTAGTTAACAGGAAAGGGTCTGTTGACAGTTTTTCAAGGTAACTTTTAAACAGCTATTTGCAAGGCTGCCGTAGTTAACAAATGACATCAATAATGCAATTAAGCAGCAGATTAATGTCCCCAAATAAAAGCCAGCTCACTGGGTCTGACAGACTCAATGCTATTTAGTTAAAGGGGGGAGGGACTTTAAAATACCAACTCCAGAAAACATTCATAGACTTCATTTTTTAAGATTAAGTGAGAAATATTTTTGGTCCTAGAAATGGTCATTTGTATAACTTGCCACTAGATACTGTTTCTAGACTTCTCTAACGTTAAAACGACACTGCTCCCCGCCACCCCCAAAGGAGGCACACCCAGTGCAGGTATGGTGGTCGAATCTGTTGATTTAAGATTTCAAACTTATCCTCCATGTGCACCCTAAGCCTACGTGAACCGAGTCTGAGACCCTGTGAGCCGGATCCACAAGTCCAATGAACTTTTTTAAGTCCTCAGTGATGGCAAAACTGAGTGACACTGACACTCAAAACTTGTGGACAATCACTCTTTCAATTGTCTTATCAAGACTTAATGTTTAGTTCTAGCATGCTATTAATGAAAACCAAAATATATTAGTGGCTCATGTTGACAAATGGGAATTTCTTATTGGAATATGTCAATCTCTTTAATATTAGTAGTGAAGATAGACATGCATACTAGTTTCTCTGTATTCAACACCCCCTGATCATTTGAATGGATGGCTATAACTAGTATAAACCATTTTTAAAGTACCGATTTCCATTCTTCTGGATTAGACTAAAATAACATACAAGTGATTCCTAGGACTTTTCAAGATGTTTTCCAAGTCCTAGTTCATTCGCCTGGCTCATTTTTTTCATTGATAATTCACTGATATATGGTAAGCCAAAGGTAGGCGAGTAGATCATTTAAGAAGAAATTAGCTGTTTGAGGAGAAGCATGTATACTTTCGTAATACTCACAATGAAAGTAAGGAGGCTGTTCTGGCCTAAAATTTATGCGACCCCCCCCCCCCCCCCCAAAAAAAAACCCCCCACAGAATTATGAACTCAGGGACACCGAGAAAGAATGAGAGCAAAACCCCATTACACAGACCTCCATGGCCATAAGGAAGAGAAGGTAGCAAACAGAGACAATGAATCTCTCCTCTCCTCCCAATGCTTCGGCAGTCACACAGCAAGCTGGGAGGCAGCCAAGAGTTGAACAAGGCCTTACAGGCAGGGAGCCTGGATGGCCTGCTCTTTGACAATGCAGTTTGTTTTTATTTTATGTTTTTCTGGTCTTTTACTGTCACAGCATAATGGTTTGCCCTCGAATGAAATGAACAGTGAAGAAGAACTCTGGGATTTGATAGTAATACACTTTGTGTTGGTACATTAAACTGAAATCCATTTCACTTCTATGATAATGGATGGAAGGACTAGGTAGTTATCAATGAAAATAAATGCATGGTGATGGAAATTATTGGAGGATTAATAAAAGTAGATAAAATGCACCTTAAGAGACGAAATAGTAAGTTAGGGAAATAGCCTCTGGCAGGAATCTGAAGACAGGAGTTTTAAAGAGTGACAACCCATTAGAATGAAGAAGTTCTACACCCTTTTAAACAGAGATAAACATACAGAATGAGAGGACCACGATTAGATAGTTAAATACTCTCTAGTGCTTTAATGATTACATGTTATAAATGGAAGAAATATCACCTCTTTTATTAGCAGTTTGGACAAATTTCCAGTAAAAGTCATCTGACCAGAAGTCCTGGAAGATATACAGCCAGCTGACTGCTTAATTTTGACACATCTGGCATGGAAACTTTAGTATGATTACGTACATTTTCCCAAAATAGGGAAACACTAAGTAGCAGTGGCTCAATGACCAAGTGCCCATTTATCATCATCCTAGATGGCCTTATAAGCAGCCCTCTGGAAAACAACATACCTCCAGCTGCTTGCTGGCTTCTTCATTTCTCAGTATCAGGGACAACTTAGTGCGCAGACTCCGAAAATGCATGTCAATCAGCATGTGTGCTCGTTTAGAGGTGACTTCGTTGATAGACTAAGTAATTTAAATGAACAAGGTTATTATCTAAGCATATGTCCCAGTTGAATGCCACCAAAGCAAACACCTGAACACCACTCACCAAAATGACAAGCTGGTAGCTTTCAGGATCATAGGTTACAGAAAAGGCGCCAACTGCCTTTTTAAAGTCCTTATGTGCCGATTCTTTGGCACACCTACAAAGAAAAAAAAATACCCAGCTAAGAAAAGGTTTACCAACCACATGGAGAAAAGATTCATCTTTAACAGACTCATATATTTCAATATTTCAATTGATTTATGTAAGATGCACCATTTAATTTCCATTTAAAAATGAATTTCATTTCTTTTCTGGAGATTGCATAACTCTTGAGATACTCTGCAGGAACTAGCAATTGCTATTCTAAAAAAGAAGGGTGGGCGTGGTTGATTACCAAAGACATGTCCATTGAGGAAAACCATTCTTCCCTGCAGGCTTCCTGGTGTCATTTGATTTCTGGAATATACTGTTGAGAACTGAGGGAAGTTACAGACACCTGAGTTTGTTCGGTTGCCTCCCTTTTAAGACATCAAAACCACCGAACAAGTAAACGAGGAGGAAGTGATGCCACATTTACAAACGCACTCTTGAGAAGCAGAATTTCTATGTCATTTAAACATCAATGTCATGCTCATCTAAAGCGTGACATGTCCACATCAAACTTAAACTACCTGCTGGGTGAAATCACTAAAAGCAACAATAAATCTCTGTTCTCTAGAAAATGCTTTTGAAGCATACTCTGCAATCCAGGCTTTTAAAATGGAGGATTACCTTGGTGGATTCTTTAGCTCTAATTTAGTTCTGAAAATAATAACTAAAAGAAAGTTACAAAAACAATCTGGAGAAATCCTCTTTGCCTAGAATGTGTTTTGTGGCTTATGATAAAATGATCAGATCTTCACTATAGCATTTTGAAATGGAGAAAGGCAATGAACAAGTTTGCTTAGTAAACAAATGCACGTGGTGTACATTAGTCAAGTTGGTTGAAACATGTGCAATGACAGAACGGAAAAATGGCTACATCGCTTTTCCTCCAAATTTACTTCTGCAAATCAAAGCATTTTGGCCAAAACACACTGAACTTCAAAATCTATCAGTGCCACTTTGAAGTGTACGTCTTTTTAAAACCACCGGTCACCTGCAGGTTCACTTTATTTCTTGGGCACCAACTCACATTTGTCTTAAGTCTTCTGGCACATCCAGTTTGATCTTATGGAAAGTGTCCTTGGTGGCAGGTTTGCTGGGATTCACCGATCGCAAGCGGTCAATTGTCACAATTTCATTGTAAGTAGCATCGCATGCTGCGTACTCTATCACGTAAAACTGACAAAAATAAAAAAAAGTCATCCCAAATCCTTTTGAAACCAGAGCAACATACTAAACACAGTTATTTGGAACTAAATTCTTAGGAGGAAATATTTAATCAAGCACTGTTTAATCAACTGAGCTGAAACCCATGAAATATACTGAATAGACAGAGAAAACTCCGAATACTAAAATGCCTCCAATTAGGTCTGGCTTTAACACAGCAGTCCAGATGGAATTGTAGCACCTGGGCTTAGAAAAGGGAATTTGATAGAAAGAAAAATGTGCAGTGAGCATTTTCCTACCTCACCCTTTATCATCCTCACTTTAGCTAGCCACCAACAGCAAGGCTCTTTTTCATTTGCTCTGGAATAAACCTACACAAAAATGGCGAGAGAATATTTCATGGTTAACATTACTTTGAAATCCATAGACAGCCAAAGCATGCTAAGAATTCAGTAAAATGCCCCTGGGCATACAGGTCTTCCCTCCCACTAGATCGGACCCCTTACAGCTACCCAGACCCAGAGGCAGCCTCAACTGGGGAGCTCCCTGTAAAGGAGCTTTCCTCCTCTGCCTCAGCATGAGCTGAGCAGGAATTAGTACTCAGAATATGAATGCTCAATAAAGACTGACTATTCATAAATATGAGCATACCTCCTTCCCCTGGGGTGCGTTGTGAGCTGGGAAGTACAGCTACAATGTAAAAAGGTTTTTTGTTTGACTCTTATAAGCAAATAAACTCATTGGATGTTTGTTACTGATGCTGGCCAACTAGAAGTAGGCTGCTAGGTCAGTGAAGGGTAAGAGCACAGCCCACTCAGGTCTCGAAGGACACCACGCTGGCCTCCATGTCTCCTGGGCATTCAGTGGACAGTCCCTTGGTCACGCTGGTCTCTTGGTCCTTTCACCACTAAAATGGACAGCACCAATGATGGCCACTCTCCAACTGCCCCAACCAGTTGCCCTGCCCACTCTGCAGCGGTTCTTCTAACCAATCTCTCTGCTGACCACTGTTATGATGTGTAGCAGGAACACCTTTTTTTGTGAAGATACCAGTCATCTCCAGGAGAATTTAGGCAAACAAAAAGTGGAGGGGCCTCAGATCCCATCAGCAGCACTTGTTCCCTCTTGAGGTCCCTTCCAGAACCATCCCCAGCTTCAGACACCTGGGCCTGGCGGTCAAGGTACCTGCTCTGAGTCCTACATCCCCCTCCACCCTCAGACATCAGAAAACTGCTGACAGGTGCCCAGTACCACTTGTGCTTTACCTGCACAAATGCCTACTTAGTTGCTACCTACATACCACAAATATTCACGAAATAGAACTCCTAATAAGGCACTGCTCTCCATATGGTGGAGAAAGAAGAAGAACAGCATGGGAAAGAGGAGCAAGGTGAGAGGGTGAGCAGGATCACAATCATGAACCCAGTGCTCTGTATAGTGTGGTGGTGCTCCAGGCACCTTTTGATCAAAGAAATCAATGGCACAAGATGAACTTGTAAAATGAGCTCTTCAAAATATAAAGGTACATTTGCTATTTAAAGAATTCAAGGACACTGCTATGTTAGAAAGCAAGACATTTTTTGTCCTTAGTCAAAGTGATTTTCCTAATCCATTTTGATGAAAAGAGGACCACAGCTGTAACTGTAGACTATATTACTCAAACAAAGATTCAGAGATTAATGGGGTAAAAGCAGTACCAGTGAGCAGAGGAAATCAGCACTGCACTAACATTCAAAAATGGGCCAAGTATTGTTCAAACAGCCCAGGTTAAGCATTATATATCACTTAAGTTATCAAGATTGCTCACTCAAAAGCAAAGAGCCTGGGGGTGCTGTGATTAAGCACACAACTGCCAACAGAAAGGCCAGCAGTTCAAACCCATCAGCTACTGAGGAGGGAAGAGAGAGAGATAGACACATGGCAGCCTGCTTCCAGAAGCATGACAACCCAGGGTGCAGCTCTACGGTCTTACAAGCTCATCAAGTGTGGAAATCAACTCAAAGCCATGGGTTTGGCTTTTGGAGGGCATTCCATAGCACATGCCAACCCAGGCTGCAATACTCAAGGTAGCTATGAACAACGTCAAAGACGGGGTATGAAAAGGGCACAAGGCAAATTCAACAGCCCCCATGCCTTCACTGATTAATAGCTTCATAGCAGGATCAACTTACCTCAACTTCATCACTTTCATTTATATCTTTATTATAACCTACAGGTGGTGGGAATCGCACATCGTGGAATGGGATCTGCCTCTCAGGCTGCCAGCTGAAAATAAGCACACAGACTATTACTGAACAAGCTTGAGATGGTCACCTAAAACGACGGCTGCACCTCCATCAATGTTTGGTGAAGCTGGAGCCCCCGTTGTGCTGGTTTTAAAGCAGCAGACATTTTAATTGCACAGCAGTCTGGGAGGCGTTCCACTTAGGATACTTCCCTCAACACAATAAATCAACTAAACTGTACTCCAATCAGGCCAACTCCGAGAATTCTAATTGTAAAACTACCAAAGCAAAGGGACTTCCACATTTATGTTAATTATGTTAGTTCCACCAGTTAGTGACACCATCGGTGTACTTTTACTAGCAACAGGAATTTACCCACATTCCATGGCCACAGCAATGGGTCCAACATGCCCTGGGATTCCCAAGCAAAACAGGGGCAGTCAACACAGTAACAACTTACAACTCACTTTTACCCCTTTAAATTTGAGATCCCACGAGGTGGTCAAGTCTCCCCATGGGTGGCTGGCCGCGGAGCAGTGCAATGCCCCAGCATGCACTGGGCTGGCAGAGGTTCAGAAAACCACTGAACCGGCGAAGCCTGTCTATAGCAGTTCAGTAAGTTGGCTTTTGCTTTTTATTTTTAATGATATGGTACAATTTTGAAAGAAAATCAAATTACTCTTTAACATAACAAAGACACAAAAGATTAATAATCTACAAACGCACCACAGGGGCGTCTGCTGCTGGAGCAGTCACTACCAGGGAGCGTTTTACCAGCAAATAGCAACTCTTGTCCTGTGTACAATGTTCCTGTCCTGCTCAAGGGTTTTCTTAGTTAAATCTTAGTAAGTTGTCAAAGCATTTTGGTGGTGGTGCTGCTGTTTCAAAGAGCCTTCTGTTTATCAGAAGGCAGGTAATTCACCCAAAATTGGTGCCAATCCAGACAGTGTCAAAGTGACACTGACCCCATTCCTGTGTTGCTGTGCAGGCAGACCGCGTTTGACTGTGATTCACTTCATTGTACTTTGCAGTTATCACAGTTTACAGATGGAAAGGCTGTGGCTACCGGCATCAAGCAAGTCTACCAGTGTGGTGTGTTCCATGTTGGTCATTTTCACAACTTTCCCTAATACTATTGCACACTAACGGACGAGTCTAGTATCAACATTAACTTCTGCGTGCACTGAGGCCCCCCAAACTAGGTGTGACTTGCTTTGTGGAAATGTTCACTCTGTCAGGGTCATCTGGAATGGAACCCACAACTCACCAAGGTCTGCCAGTACACAGTTAAAACCAATAAAGCTTTTAAAAAAGTGTCTTTACTTCATTAAAGCCTTTGTGTACTTACTGAAGATCTGTGACTTTTAACCTAAGTTACCAATTGATAGCTAAATTTCATCTGTAAAGCCTTGTAATAACAAATAGGTGTATTGTTTTGTTTAGTTTCAAATAGGTTTTGTATTCCTTTTTATTTTGGTTTGGTTCCAAAGAGAATTAGACATTCTCATTCTTGAATGTAGAGACAAAAAAACATATTGGAAAATGCAAAATTCTAAAGGAAAATAGTCTACAGTTCTATTACTAGGAAGCACTGTTGTCAATAGAACGAACAAAAGGAAACAGCCAATCTCTCTCTCTCTCTCTCTCTCTCTCTCTCTCTCTCATTCCTGATCTTTATTTAGGCCATGAGGGGTGCTGGACCCAGAACGTGGGAACAGAAGCGTGTATCACGTCTATATTTTATGCTTTCTGAGACCAAGCCACCCTCAAACAATACTCGGAAT